GAACACATAACAACATTAATCTGGAGAAAATTATGGAGATTTTTTTCGAAATATGCCAGTTGCAAAATGTGTCATTTTTTTTCACTTCAGAAATTCCACTACTCTTGATTGAAAATTTATTACTGATAATGAAATCAAAATGTGGTATTTTTAAATTTCAAGTTGACGTTTTATTGTAAACTTGATTAATTTATCAAGAATTTGTATCATGGGTTAGTAATAAAACTACCTAATTTAAGAGAATATATTAAATTGAAGAAATGAGTTCTTAAGATGTTCTTTAATAATAACCAGTCAGTCAGCTACAGTGTAGGACCAGGAACATATATGTATCGGTCCAAGTTACCACACCATATTAGCACAACAAGATGAACACCGAATTCAATGGTGGTATTATATAAAAAAAGATTGCATATAAGGATATAGTATAGGAAGAAAGAATTAGTTCGTAGGAAGAAAGATATAAAGTCATTTTAATCTCATCGTTTAAGGGAAGACAGAGAGTATATACACCGACGCCATTGTGATCAATTCTGAGCCATTTCACCCAGTCTCCAACCATTGGTTACAATAGTCACGCGGACTCCAACCAAGTAGTCTGCATCTACCAACATGACTTAGACTAGAAGTTAGTGAATCCAAGGACTGATGCCACATTTTGGTTTGATTGCTCCCAACTGTCTTCCAACCGTCTCCAACACTAGTCAGCATTGCACGTCATGGTAATCGGTGTTCAGGCATATGTAACACGTGACCTAATCATCTCAGTTGATGAAGATTCACGACTTCACCAACTGATTTACCATCATTCCCTAATACCCTGCGTTGAACCTCACTAATACTTACGCAGTTATCCCGGCAGATGCGAGCAATATTTCTAAGGCATCTGTGACCAAATACTAGTGGTTTATGAATATCTTCTACTCTTAATGGCCATGTTTCACTGCCGTAAATTAAAACAGAACGGACTGCCGCGCATTATACTCGTCCTTAATTGATAGGCAGATATCTTGCGTTCGCCATAGGTGACACAAGCTAGCAAAAGCCAAAAGAGATTTCTGAATCCGTGCTGAGATTTCATCAGGCACCAACCCATTAGGGTAACGCATTCGACTACTTCACTTCCTATCCTTAGTTCAGGTGTTGACGCAGACCAGTCCTGAAGCAACAACTTACATTTAGAGTGAGAGAAGAGCTCTGACTCGACTAGTAGTGTTCGAATAAAAAGCCTACACAAGGTTTATGTACTTCTGATGTACACCTTTCATTGATAGACACTGCCACAGAGTCTTGCGGTCTACAGAGTCAAGTGCTGCTTTTATGTCAAGAAAGACCACCACTGTCGGACGCCGATGAGCACGCCTGTGTTCTAGAACCTGACAAATGGTGAGTATGTGTTCGATGCAGCCACGGTCAGGTCTGAAGCCAGCTCAATTCTCTCGTGTTTGCAGTTCACGAGTCTTAGCTAGGCATCCGATAATTATCGAGACTAGTATTTTAGATGCTATGTTAGTCAAATTAATCCCTCTATGGTTATCACATACTTGGTTGGGGTCCGCGTGACTATCGTAACCAATGGTTGGAGACTCTTGGTGACATGGCTCAGAATCGATCACAATGGCGTCGGTGTATACACTCCCTGTCTTCCCTTAAACTATGAGATTAAAATCGCTTCATATCCTTCTTTCTACGAACCAATTCTTTCTGCTTGTACTATATCTCTATATGCAATCTTTCTCTTATATATTACCACCTTTTACCTAACCACTGTTATGAATCTGGTGTTCATCTTGTTGTGTTGATGCGGTATGGCAACCTGGACCGATGCACATGTGTGCCTGGTCCTACGTTGTAGCTGACTGACTGACTGATGGTTATCACATTGATGTTTTTACCCCTTCTTATATGTTGGGACAATCGGTGATTGCGACCAGTCTGATGGAATTACGTCAAACTCCCAGATTTTAGCTAAAATATTAGTCAACCTAATCGCTAAATTTGGACCACCGTCCTTAAAGACCTCTGGAGCCAATCCATCTGAACCAGCCGCTCTTCCTTCTTTTAGATTAACTATAATAATAATAATAATAATAATAATAATAATAATAATAATAATAATAATAATAATAATAATGAGAGAATCGTCTATTCTTTGATGGTTATATAACACGTTCCTATTATTGTTATGAAAAATAGGCACCCTCACCTTAACATTTCTAAATACCTTAAATTTAACAGTAAGCAGAGTGAAGATTATAATATTGGGTAGTATTATCATCGATGAACAAGGAGGATCAGATGCAGACTTAAAGGCGAGAAGTGACAAAACAAGGGCCGCATTCCTACAATTGAAGAACATATGGAACTCAAAACAACTTTCAACCAATATCAAAGTAAGAATCTTCAATACCAACGTCAAGGCAGTTCTACTGTATGGAGCTGAAACTTGGAGAACTACAACAACCACCATCAAGAAGGTACAAGTATTTATAAATAGCTGTCTACGCAAGATACTCAACATCCATTGGCCGGATACCATCAGCAATAGCCTTCTGTGGGAGAGAAAAAACTAGCTTCCAGCTGAATAGGAAATTAGGAAAAAACGATGGAAATGGATGGGACATACATTACGGAAATTACCAAACTGTATCACGAGGCAAGCCCTAACTTGGAATCCTGAAGGGAAGTGAAAAAGAGGAAAACCAAAGAACACATTACTTCGGGAAATAGAAGCAGATATGAAAAGGATGAATAACAACTGGAAGGAGCTGGAAAGGATTGCACAGGACAGGGTTGGATGAAGTGTGCTGGTGGGTGACCTATACTCCTCAACGAAGACTAACAGGCATAAGTAAGTATTAGCTTCTATAAGATTATGGATAAGTTTTACTGACAAAGAAGTAATTATCATGAAATCAAAATTTTGAACATTTTATTATTTTCTATCGAACATTCGTCAATAACTGATATGATTTAGTTAAATTATAAATAATAAAAACATTTTAAAGTCATAAAAATTTAAGAGATGCATGATTTCATTTTGTTTTGATGAAATACAAAGTAGAACTAATGAATTGGAAACTAATAATAATTTACATTCTCATGAACTTCATAAATCTTTGAAATGAAAAAAAAATATTTCCAAAGGTTTTCTTATATTTCATATTTTCTATTGTTTTTATCTAGAAACTAGGGGTATTTTTGCAAGAATCAGTTATATCTACGTATTATATGTAAGTGAAAGTTTCATTCAATCGATTTTAATTACATAATTCAGGGTTCTATATTTGTATAGTATGCCCATCTAAAATTAGTATCTTATTACATTTTTCTGATCCAACTGACAGAGACCTCATTAGAAAAAACAGACAAACTTAAACCATATTTCACTATAAATATGTTTTGTAGGTCATGAACATTAATTAGTTTGATAATACTTTAGCAGAATCAAAGTAAACACCTAAATACTGCGTCATATAGGTAGGATATATTTAGAAATAAGCTTTAACAATAATGGTTGAAAAACTATCCATTTTGAGGTCTCGTTTTATCGGTAAACATTATGATTTGGTTATTATAATTAGTCATAAATAAATTCCTTTGGCGATATAATGTTCTTAGAATTTTAATACCTGTTTATATCTTAGTAATATAGAAGACTCTTTTAATGAGTGTTAAATACACTGACATTAGAGTAGATAAAGAAACTGCACAGATTTGATGAAGACCTAATCTCTTTCATCTATGTTCGATAAATCAGCACTATTTTTATATACATTATATTTTCAAATGAAATGTTTGTTAGGAGAGGCATTCTAAGGAGCTTATTACCAGTGGTATATAAACTTGCATTTATACAACTAAAGAAGGACTTGAAATTATCTTACTGATTACTAAACCAATCTATTTACGCTACTTATAAGTAGCATAAAGACATTTTGTTAAATTATTTCAGGGGCTCTAATTCGTCGTGCAAATGGAAGTTATGGTCAAATTGTACGTAATAAGTTTATAATACTCTACATATTTACTTAATCATGTCAAATATGGTCGACAGAATGTCTATATATTAGTAAATTGTCAGCTTCTTACAAAATACAAAGTTTTAACATTTAAGGTGTTTTCTAACAAAAAATAACACCACAAAAGTAACAAATTATCAGTCTCATGATATATTATCAAGGTCAAAGAATAAACTGTTTCAAAAAAAATGAACATAAATATATCTATGTACATCTTTTGACCAGATAATAGACAATCCTTTCTAAATTAACACAAATCTAAATAGTATATACTAACATTACTAGACTTGTTTGTTTGTACCAAATATTTGTTTCATTTCTTTGTACTATTGCTTATGGTGATTTGTATAGGGTTATCTCTTCTTTGAATAAGACTCACATACTTTCTTTTTTTGGTAGCTAGATCTCTTAAAACCGTTTATATAATCTATTTGTTACTTACCATTTTTAAAATTGAACCATCGTTATTCCTATGGAATTTCACTCAAGAGAATTCTTGATTTCTACTACTGGGGTCGAAGATATTTCTCCTTCATAGGTTTGTTACTTTTTAATACGTCAATTTATTGCCTTGCTTTTAAGAGTATTGTCAACATATGTACACGGAGTAGCGATCATTAAAATTTAATCTTTCCTATAAATCTTTTGGACAATATTTGGATTCTTAACCAACTCTGGCTTACAAGAGTATACGGAAATCTCTGTTCAATGAATAGAGTATATGAATGATTCTCAGTATAGCCATATTGTATGACTTTCTTACTATCGACTTGACCAATCAGTCACAAACCTCAATTATTAATCCTCAGCAATAAAATAACTTCATGTCCCAGATCATTTCAATTAAAATAATAAAAAGATAATTGAGTAAGAAAATATTATTCCATATAAAATATCTTAAGGAAAAGGAAAATTATGAATACCAACTAAAAAAGGTATAAATATGAAATATATAAGTACAAACTTTCAACAGTTTTGCTAAGATTTAAGTTTAGGGAAAAATTTCCAGCCTGAGGCACTTTCAACACTTTCAACAGGAACTCTAAAAGCATCCACTTTAATTTGCTCAGGTAAACGAATATTGGGCATTACCCAAGCTACTTGATGCCATTCTCCATTTGGTTTATTTTGAATAGCTGCTACTTTGAAGAAATGAGTTGGAACTGCAATATTATTGTTACCAATTACTTCATAAGTCACAATTTTCTTGCCATTTGCATTTCTGAAATAGTATTGAAAAAACAGTTTTAATTAACAAAGCGATTATAGATATACATTGTACAGATAAAATAGAAAATAATGTTTAGTATAGTACATGTGAAATGATGGATTGATGGGTATAATAAAACTGCCATATTGACAAACCATTATTGTTCAAGATAAGGACTCTTGAACGTATTGTGAGCCTTAGTAGGTATACTGATCAGGTAAGCGGGATGTATATCTGTTTTTTTGTAATAAAGTACACAATTATATCAACTGCACTCTGATTGGTTAATAACTAAGTTATTTTCGGAGTTGTTCAAGGTTGCCAGTATAGTATAGTTTCATCATTTTAATAGCACTCAAAGTTAATTTAACTGATGCAATGACTAAACTCACCTTCAGAAACTACTTCAGTTTGAGCAGTCAGGGTGCATTATTTTTTCTTACCACATGAAAGGTGTGGTTCAAAATAGAATAAATGAACCTGTGCTTAGTTACAGACATTAAATTTCAATAAAAAGTCAATATCTATGTACTTTTACATTATTTAGCCAAAGCAACCTTAGATTCATAAACGAAAACAACTATTACTCGGTGACTTGGATTATGAATTGATTCAATCGAAATGATTAGTTGTACAGCTTGTTTTTTTTTTGTATTCAGCAATCTCAAGATCGGTTGATGTCAGCACAAAAAATAGTTAGTATTCTACAACCTGAGATTGAATAAAATCGATGAGTTTTGTCAGGGTTAATTAAATTACTTGATACACCTAGACACATTCCATATTTAATTAAGATATATATATATATATATATATATATATATATATATATATATATATATATATATATATATATATATATACATGAACAATCTATTATTCTTATTACCAAAAGCAAATTGAGTAATCTGACGTCAAAATGTAATTAGATTACTCACTGGGGTAGAAACAATGGTCCTGTAATAACAACCATATTGTGTGACTTTCTTGCAATCGCACGTATATACTTCTCTAGGCTATTCCAACCATGCCGATTGAAACCATACCCAACCTAGATTAACGGTGAAACAATACACACGTAAACAAACGTCATCTATTAGAAAGCTTGGTCGTATACTACTGGAAACATAAAATAAACTCAGCGATACCAAGAGTATCAGAAGACGATCGTTTATCATTAATCTTCTTAATAAGTATGTAAACGATAAAATTAATAAATCAATGATTGACAATCACCTAAAGATGATAAATGATTACCGTTTCGTGATTACTTGTATTTTTGAGAGAATTACTTATTCACTTTTAAGTCTTGTATATTTCTCATGTATAGTTTTTAAAAACAGCTTTTGGTGGCCCTTTTTCTGACTCCAGTTAGATCGTATGATGAATGTTATTAAAATATACACGCCGCCAAACGTCGTATATTTTTATCGACCTAATTAGCGTTAGAGAATAACGGAATACGTCAAGTACGAGAATGAATCTCAAATACGTATATTTCGTGCACTCATTGGTCCAGACAGACAATTAGAGAAATGAAGTGAAGGAAACGGAGCGAAACAAAGTGGAGGGCAGCGCAGAAGACAAGTGGGCCAACTCGTTTTTATCAATCGTGGGCTTGAAATGGTGACAACCTCTACAAGCTTTGGGGAACTTTCTATGGAGCACGTAAGTTTAGCTTGCGACATAGACTCTTTCTGTAATGTGTAAAGGGTTAATAGATTAATATTTTTTCTACAATTCTCAAAAAAAGAAACTAAGCTCCAACAACGATACCTACTTGAGGTGCAATATTGCTTAATATAAAAGTTTGTCCCATAGCTGAATGGCTGAGGCGATGATTTCCTGCAGCGGCCAGATGACCACGATCATATCCAGAGTTCAAATAATCTTTGTTAGTAGAACGGAACATTTCAATTTCACCAAGATCTTCATAGAAATCGAAATCCTTACTGTTAATTTTCCAAACAAATGTAAGAGTTTAAAAAAAACAGAGTTAGTTTTCTTAATGTAAGCTTTATTATCCTCTTATGGAGGTTATCACCTAGGAAAATAGGTAGGTGTTCTTCTTTCTTGAATAGTTTTGTAACATTTATAATCGTCTTTAATGGACGCTAAATTTTGTGTATAATATACTGAGCTAACTTTGGTCTAGTCAGGAGTTTCGCTTTGAAGCAGTTTCCTTGTTTCCCGATGAGGCATGTTAGGTGGTCATTTGACAAAAACAATTAGACTTTTTACTTTTTGTTCAAGTTGGTAGATAAAAACTTACATAATGTTCAAACGCTAAAAATGACTTAAACTGACATTTGACATCTCTCTACTCAAACTCGAAAATACGAGAAATTCTCAAACTTGGACTGGATTTACGCTTCATTGAAAATAGCATTTCGAAAGTTTTAAAGTATGAGATCAAGCTCAAATTAAGCACTATGTAATTTGAACTTCCAATAACTTTCTGCCATAGTTATGTCAAGTGAACTTGTATACACTTGGGAATTTTAGCAAGTATACAGACAATTACAGTCAGCCTGTTTTGATTTACTGGCTTCCGAGATAAAAAGAAAGTGAGTATTATCGGATATCCAAACTGATGAAATTCTGTATCTCTTTGAAACGTTAGATTGGTAAAAAGTTGCAAAGTCCCTCCTACATCACGTATGTATTAACTTATTTTGCTATTATTTAATACGAAATGCGACAGTTGGGATAGTTTAGATGACTGATTATTCAAGATCCCTAAAACGTATTGCAAGACATATTGCCCTTTCGTATTTTGGAAAAATTTACCCCAAAATGCTTCTTTATGAAATATAATACTATTAAAGGATCTTTTGGAAAAAGTTCGTAAAGACATGATATAATGGGAAAGATAATAGTTACGCGTCGCGTTGTAATACACATTTTTATCCTCGATTAACCATCTGTTAAGCGAAAAACCATACTATCTTGATTTAATATGTTTGGTGTATAAACAGCAGTCTTAACTCATAAACATAATCTATTGGTCAGTGATTCTTACTTCTAATAACTATTCTGTTAGTGTTCAAGGGGTCGGTTTGGTAAGGTAATCATCAGTTCAGCCACCTCAGTCATTTAAGTAATTTATTAATTCAATTATTTTACCGTAATATGGATCACAATAACAAGCACAAGCAATTAAGGTTTTGCTAAGTGACAAAAATGATATTCAATTGTATCCGACCTTGAGTGTTGAAAGCTCACAAGTATGCCAAATTAATAAAATGACAGAAGTTCAGGGTTTGCGAACCTCATAGCTTTTAGTGGGGTTAAATTTTCTGAGTTGAACAGTATAATTATGAAGCTTTCATTGTTCTGGACATCATGAGTACCTACTTTATGTAAGAGTAGGCTTGTTACAAGTTCCACAAGTGTTAAATCAGTTCACTCTAATGATCATCCTGTTGAATGGTTGTTTTCAGATTTTTCAAGTTCATTTATCTTGTTGCTTTCTTTAGCCATCTTGTTCAATAAACCTCTGATTATGTGAATAGTTCATGGTCTACTTACAGTTAGTAATATGACCCTTCTCATAAAATTCATTAACAGGAAATGTAACTTTATCTACTAGTTGAGGGGATCAGTCTGTTCTAATTCTAAGCAATAGTAATATCACCACGTGCTAATTTACAGGCTATTGTAATACAAATTTATAACTAGAGCCTTAAGATTTGGTTGTTGAAGACAATTTTTCGTCCAAATATTGACTTTTGTGAATATGCTATACGAGCCCTTTAAATAACTGATTTCGTCTTTACAAAATACAATCTTTAAATATTTGATCGACATGATGTTCAGAATGAATCAGTAAAATTTAAATCTAAAACAATCAAATAGGTGGTCGTTAGTGATTTCCATATTGTAATCCTACGAATTTTGTTTAAATCCCAGTAACATCTGATTGTTAACTAGGATTTATTTTCTATTTTAATTTACTTTAGATTATTGCTTAATTCAATACTCTGGTCTGTTTCCTTTCATGGTTACTTAAACTTTATCGGCTACTCTTCTAATCAGCTCAATTCGCATCTCAATTAACTTTTTAAGCTGGTAGTTCTGACTTTGGGATGTCTATCAACCACAATATATATCAAAAACTCCTGCGATTCGCCTTAAAATACCTTTTTGTATTGTGTTGTGGTTTAAGCTATTTACTACAATACCATACGTCTTCAAGTAAGGCATGTGAAGTTAGTTAAGAGTTTATATAAAAACGTTCGTTAAACTAAATTGTCTTATGCTCCTTAACATCTGGGTAGACAATTTGGCTCAAAGCAATCTGATAAAGGTCCCAGTAAATATACTAAATAGAATAATCTTGGTCTAAAATATCATTCCAGGTGTTAATGAAATAAAGACATACCGATCTACTCCAGCCTTATCAATATCAACTTGATGTAGTTTAGCAGGGTTTAAATGCTCCATTACCCAATATGGAATTCTGTTGCGACGGTCATAAACACATATATAGCCGTCAAAAATACGAAGATGACTTGATGATGGCATTCCCAAAGTATGAAAAACTTCATTGTTTATTGGGAGGTTTGGGGCGCCGACAAGAGAAGGGTAAATTATTTCAGCTGCATTTACCGGCTGTGAGAATGGAATTTTTGGAACTTCCGATTTTAGAACAAAATGGGTAAACGTTGCACCAATTGTTATGTACACGCCAGCTTTCAAGATCTCATATTTTCTCCAACACCGATGTATGCGTTGCGCGATAGACTGCATTTCAGTGAGTACTGAACTAATACTTTATAAAAAAAGTACTCTTAGTTACGAAAGAACTGATATCGTTGTCATAAATAATACAAACAAACATGGACCAAACACTACTGGTTTTGATTTAGATCATATGGTTCATACCTTCAAAAAAATACGACTAAATAATAGAGATTTAGAGGTATACCTACCAAGTGATAATGTAAGGGTCTGTTAGAATTAATGTCTCAACTTTAGGAAACCCATTAGAAGACTTACTTGGTCCCGATGTACTACCTTGCAAGGTTTCATGTTTTTTACTTACTAAAGAGTACAAATAGTGATATTTGATTAAATATATCCTTACTGTACAATATCGATTTTAATGTAGAAATACCAGTCTATAGTTATTACTCTGAATACTGTAACACCAAAAACAAAACCTAAAGACACTTGAAAGGTTATTTTTCAGAATTATTTTTGTTGCTATCACCACTCTAACAGGTTGAATACTGGCTTCAGAGTTCTCTACAAATAACTTATAGTTTAATTAACACATTCATTAAGTACCTGGATATAAGCCACACTAAATATGAGAGCTAGTGGTACTACTCATCCGGTCAAACTGAAAAAGGTGGGGTGGGATTCAAACCCGGAAGTTGGACGCCCTACAGTAGTATAAGCTAGTAGTCATACTTGCTGTATCATGACTGGTGATACGTAGGTCAATCCAGACCCAAATTCAATGGTTGAAAGCTGAATCATATATAAAAATATAGTACCATGGTAACTGAAAAAGCGCTAGTAGAGTACTTGTTCAACAAGTTTATATTTCTAGTTCCCAAAATAGCAGCCTTATTATATTCTTATCTAATAATTCTATCAAAAACGAACACGGTTGTGGACGTTTATGATGTCCAGTTTTTTCAGAGTGCACCCAATATAACTGGAAAGAACGATTGCTTAGTTGGAAATTCCAGGAAGCAATATTGATATTCATCTACTCCCCTTTTCTAATGAATCTAGTCTTCCTTGTGAATAATAGAACGGTATACACAACAACACTAAGCCTACATTACCAGGAAAAGCAGCTTTTGACACTGTTTCACTATCCTGATGGGAAATGTTTTTAAGAAACAATATTGAGAAACACAGCTCTATACATTTAGAAGGATAAAATTAGATGATCCGTCATTCAGTTCATACACACGCATACCATTGTAACACTAGTCATTCTTTGTTAGTTGCATTGCTCACGTAAATTACTTTTCGATCGTTCGTAAACACTAACAGTTAGGTTTTGGTCTACTTAACGATGATTTAAAAATGCAAAAACGCTAACCGTCAACAGAAAGCGGATCCATAAAACAGCATTATTCAAATATACTGTTTTAAACATAGTACAATGATGTGTATTGAAATAAAACGATTATATCGTATATAGGTCGTTTATTCGTCGCGCTGTGGAAATGGACCTCTGAAATATTATTCTTAAACTTCGCTCATCAGCTGATGAGTCATCAAATGACTAAGGTAGATGACTGTGGTGGAGCGTAGATGACTGTCAAAGTATTGATAATAACGGGTTATTGAAGGAAAAATGTAGAGTTTTTAACACTAATAAGATCCACAAGTAAAGTACTTGAGAAATCCAGGCATACTGAAAAGTCTCGGAGAAAGGCATAATTTATTTGGATGACTTTGAAAAAGAAGTCAAACAGCCTGTACATAAAGGTTTGTATCGACAAACTGATTTGTAGGTTTAAATAAAAGAAGTTTGAAACATCTTTGAGGGTGGGATGAATATACACATTAGTGGAGCTGCATTCGTTCTTCTTGAAGTTTAACCAACCGATCGAAATGGGCCATATTCTTTGTTTTGTCAAGTGGGAAAGAAGATATAGAAACTGATTTAGAGGTTGAAATAGCATCGCTTTGGTTTGACATCCGCTGGGCGACATGTTCGCTGTAGCTAAGAGTAGATGGTTTAGAAGACCGCGAAGAGATTGAAATTCCACTGTCACTACTCCGATTGAACTTTTCAAGCATGTGGGGATTGCTCGTAGTTTGGAACTGTGAACGTTTTGAATAGGATAAATCTTCACTTATAACTGGAAGATATAAAATAAAAAGGTTATGAGTGATTACAATGAAGTAATTAAGTTATATCATGCACATTTCACAAGTAAAACAAAGCGCATTCCTTGAAAACAAATGAATACGTAAGGCAGTGGGTTTGAATTCTAATTATTTAACAAACAATAGTAATTTATTAATATATTCTGGCGATAATTTACAGGAAATTTTTAGGTAAATGGACTCCCTATTAAGTGCAGCTGTATCGAGTCATTATTGGCTGACACCTTACGTCGAAAAGAGCTTTTAATTAGTGTATTAATGGCCACAATTGCAATGAGTGTTAAGTAAAGATCTGGAAGAAATATGTAGTAGGAACTCAGCTACAATGTAGAATCAGGCACATATATGCATCGGTCCAAGTTGCCACACCACATTAGCACAACAAGATGAACACCGAATTCATAGTAGTTAATTTGGTGGTGGTAATATATAAAAGAAAGATTGCATATAAGGTATAGTACAGGAAGAAAGATATAAAGCAGGGGAAGACAAAGAGTGTATACACCGACGCCAATGTGATCAATTCTGAGCCATTTCACCCAGTCTCCAACCATTGGTTATAATAGTCACGCGGACCCCAACCAAGTAGTCTGCATCTACCAACATGACTTAGACTAGAAATTAGTGAATCCAAGGACTGATGCCACGTTTTGGTTTGGTTGCTCCCAACTGTTTTCCAACCGTCTCCAACACCAGTCAGTATTGCACGTCATGGTAATCGGTGTTCAGGCAAAATCGTATGGAAGCATATGGAAAATCATCACATCACTTGGATAGGTGAAATCTTTCGGCGAGACTATAATCTATGAACGAACCAATCAGATTTACGATAACAGGCGCAAAATTACCCACCCATTTGGATAGTTTTGGCATTATAGCTGATGTCAGTTCGTGATGAAAACCCTAAATCCAATTCCTAACCTTAACCATCAACTGCAAATCATAATCCTTATTCTTCAAACTGCTTTCTAACCTTTATTTAGCCCTAGTAAGCGGATACTTTCAAGGTTAGTCTAGCGTCACTCAAAGGTTACCCATAAATTATAGTCTCACCAACATTTTTATTAGCACGTGACGACACGACAATGGCCGTTAAATTAATCAAAGTAATGAACTATGGACTGCGAAATGACCGAAAGACTAGTAATCAAGTGGGTTGAAATCTGTAGTTAACTATTTGAATAATACAACTTTATTAAATTCGTCTTGTCATTACATATTGATTAAGAAAAAATTCCGAATAAGTTGTCGTCGGTATATAAATAAAAAGCCTAAAACCACTTTGTGTGAACGTTTTGAAAATCTGTTTATTTGTCTGATCTGTTGAGTAAGAAATTGTGAAAAGACATCAAAGGTGCGTAGGTCTTCTGTTATTTCTGAGATAATAAGAAGGTGCTTACATACGTTAGGAATCGTGAAACGAATGACTACGAATAGCCTAAAAAGCTTGTCAACATTTACCCCGTGAAAATAAAAATAAATAATCATAAACATACGCACTTACTTCTTTTCATGTCATCTGCTAAGTATCTTGGAAGCATATAGTTGTTTTGGAAGAGATTATCAACCGGAGAACTGTCGCAAACATCTTGTTGCATCAAATCGAAACTGCCAGATGAGGAACTTGTAGGCACACAATCACTATACAAGTGAGAGGAGTCATCACCTTTGAACGAACTACCACCGTCTCCGTTTTTTACATCCATGCCAAACAGTTCGTCAAGAAAACCACGGACCGTTTGAGATTCTTCAGATAAACGGTCATCTACACCTCTACAAACTAACGAGTGTCAATAAATAACTTTACCTTACGTGATAACTGCAGATCAGAGTACACTGAAAATGGGTATGAACACTTGTTTGATGAACAGATTCCATTTATTGAACCGGCAGATGACTTAACCTTCAATAAAGGTACTGAGAAGCCGGAACGCAAACATTCCGGACAAAAACTCTCCATCTCGCGGCAAAATTCTACATAAACCGCGTGAGGTCCAATGTTCAACATGTGACTTCAATGTAGTTGGGAAAAAAGATTCCAAGGGCTTGATTTGAAGTAGTCTATTAAACTTCTTAATATTCTAACTTATTGTTATTTGCATTTTAAGATAAATTTCATAACTATTTATCGCACCTTTTAAAAGTGGATAGTTGATTCAATTGTGTTTTTGGTTATATGTATTCACTGCATCAAAAGCATACCCCGTCCGCCTTAACTTGAGTTATTCAGGTTAAGGTTCGACATTTTCTTTTTATCAGTTTCGTGGCACCCTTGTTTTTTTCCACTATAGCGATTACCTTGCTATTTTGTCGAATCTTTCCACTTGAAATGTGTTTACTGAGGTCATTCGTACTCCAAAATATGAACAGCAAAGGTATTTCTTCGTTCTAGAGGGTTCCACGAAGTGTCTGAGTCCCAACTTACATAAAGGATGCTCGAGAGCTAACTCCCATTGGCTTTGGAGTTCCTGCTGTTCAAGTACGACACTACTGATTCATAGGGTGATGAGCCTTCAAGCGCTCACCAGCGAGAAATTTGATAGCGGCTGCACTGTTTAAATGAGCAATGACTAGGAAGAACGTGTCAGTATAGTACGCGTTGTTACAAGACGAGCCGAACATCCAACTAAAAAACATAGGAAAGAGAAATTTCTTGTGAAACAAAGAGTGAAATATCACTGAGTGTTGGTGGTTAAGATTTTGATGTAGTGCCTGAAGATCCGAATAAAAATGGTTCAAGTAGTCACGATATGCCTGTCTCAAGACAAGTGCAGAAACAAAGAAGGGGAGAAAAAGACACATTGTAGCCCATTTGTTTGAGAAGCTTTTGACAAGCCCTCATACCAAGTCGCATAATATAACGCAAAATTCTAAATGTGAAACTGGACTTAACCCTAGCGTGGCTGAAAGGAGCTTGATCTCATCGAATTTTATTGCAAACAACTTACTAGTCAAACGATCCTGATCCGAAAACGAGACACATACATGATTAAGAAAAGGTCGGGGCATTTATTAGTAGCACTTTACCAGGTAACTGTGCGAGATTTTAGATCAAAACATTGTCAAGAATAGGTAAGGGACTGCTTAGGATAAGCCTATGGTCCGAGGAACAATTGAATCACAACAGTACCGACATTCGAGTAAGAACTAACATGTCTCCGTAAGACAGAATAAGGAGGAAGACGGTGTTAGCTGAACAAACAAGGCGTCAAAATATGGTGGAGAAAATTTTCGCCTAGTGGGTTTCAGTTTAGTCGGGTCTTAGAAAAGGAATCCGTATGGCATGTATGAATAGGTCGCTCTCTTTAGGTGTCTTATGTGCAAATCCAAGTGGTCTAAGAGGCAAATTTAATGAACCGGAAGTACTAGTGGACAAATTAAAGCCATTCATCATAGCTGTGATCTAGATTTGGTTAGTCTATGTCTTTGACGTCGCTCCAGGATTGTCGGTAACGATTCTCTAATAAGTGATAGGAATGGATAAAATAGTTGGGGTGAGGTCAATACATACATTACTGATACTATAAACATCTGTTCATTTGTTCGTGAATCTCATGGTGTAATTTGTGAAGTAACCAGCTGTGAATTCACTTTCGATGGTCGTGACTTTGCACTTGGTGTCATCTATCGTAGCCAAACCTGCCTAGCTGGTGACTTTGTTAAAGAGAACATTCAGCTATGAAATGAAAATAACAGATCAGTGATATTAAGAGATTTCAATGTACCTGATATTAGTTGGGCATAGATGGAAACTGTAGGATCTGAAAACTCTCTTGATAGTAGGCTTCTGATAATGGTAACTTGACATACTTTAATACAACATGCATTCAAACCTACAAGTTTTTTCTCAAACCAAAGATATTTTTTATACTTAGTAATCACCCATGAGACCGAAGATATCGCTAATCTAACTATTTTCCCACCATTACCAGATGGTGGTCATGCTGTTTTTGTCATTCATGTTTAGGGCTCGCCCAAATGTATGGACAAAAAATATTGGCCATCCAAGAGTGCAATACAACAACAAATCGGTCAGTAAATACTAGCTCATCAATTAGAGAAACATGGTCAATATTTTAAGGTATGACTGACCTATCCACGTTCCCGTCTATATCGTGATTAGTATCATGTATAGCAAATAACTTTTCACCAGTGGTAACCAAACAGGTTATAAAACTTCTTAGCCGTAAGAAAAAGCTTTGGAGTATGTTTATCTCTACAGACTCTAAACACTTATTGTAAGACACGGAACGCTTGCGAGGCGTCGGTAAGGCTAGACATTTATGTGAAAAACACTTATTTTGGGATTATGAAAATAGTCCGAAAGGATTGTTCTCGTATATCAAGAGGCTATTGATGAATGATACAGGTATTCAGTGTTTGACAACGCTTCTACCAGTAACACCTTCTAATATGCTTTGTTCCCACCGAGAGAAATCAAAAGACAGAGTCGAGGAGATCGGAAGAGTGTATTAGGCGATAACCAATATATCGGGAATCTCTGATCTAATCTGGCTAGTGATTGCGGTTGTTGTTGAGCACAGCGTGACACCACGTGATCTGGTGCGGATGCATGACCGAGCGCCTTCAGCCAGATGAGTCCACTAAAACATATGGTCAGCATCCAATGTCGAAAACCTATTGAGCTATTTAGTTTGGGGATTTATTTACCGCTACAGATCACTCCCCCCCTAGTGGGGCAGTGATGACCCTAAGACGTGGCCAGCCAGAAGTTTAAACCCAACGAGTTTGTTGTTGGTAAACACTCATCTGATAGCTTACTAAATTTAGCAGCGTCTGGTCGTCTTTCCTTACTATATGGGACCGGGGTACAACATAGTAAAAAAAGAAATGTACAATGAAAATTTCGTATTCTCATAAACGTCATCGTTCTTTTCCAGCCGTCCTGGAAAAGAAGAAAGAAAGTGTAAGTGCATGTCGAAAATACACTCGTATGTGCGTAAAAAAGGGAAAATAAACTCATGGACACGTAACAGCGTTAAACAAATCGTTTTTTTGTTTTTTGTTTTTGAAATAGAAATGAAAATATATTAGCCTATTTTAAAAAAAATTATTTTTTTAATAATATAGAAAATGTCGAGAAGTGCCTTACGTGCAATAGTCGTTTAAATGTTCTGGAAATCTCACTCTTCTTCCAGAACGCGTCGTTTTAAGTTTATTTTCGGATACTGTCGAAGTATCATCGTGTGTGTTGGTTGTCGGATGAGGTATTATAAGTGTCGGAGTCGTGTCGTTCAATTGTACCGAAGGAAAATCAACGTGAATATGATTTCCTTTTAAATACACTGCTTTCAAGCGATCGATGCTGATGCTATCGTTTGTTCCGTTCTTATCGACTATATAGTACTTAGATTCGCGTTGAAGAACTTTGAAAGGTCCTTCATATGCTGATTCGAATGGTCGTCGATGTGCGTCTCGACGAACGAAAACGTGTGTACTATATCGTAAGTCAGGTTGAACGAAAACATCGATGGATTGTGGTCGAGTGGAAGCAGGTTTAACTGAACGCATTGCGTTTGTAAGCCTGTTCGTGTAGGAGGTTAGATCCATGTTCATTGAAGAGGATGAAGGATCCACAAATTCTCCTGGAAGTCGAGGTGTCGTTCCATAAACGAGTTGAGCTGCAGTGTATCCAATGTCAGCTTTCACTACATTGCGGATACCTAGTAGGACGAGTGGAAGAGCGTCGGTCCACTGTGAAACGTTTGCAGCTGATAGCGAAGCTTTTAGTTGTCGGTGAAAGCGTTCTACCAACCCGTTTGCTTGTGGGTGGTAGGCGGTCGTTCGGAAGCGAGTGCTTCCTAATAGTGTGGTCAGACGACGGAAAAGTTCAGACTCAAACTGACGTCCGCGGTCTGTAGTGATGGTTGAAGGGCAACCGAAGTTTGCTACTCATCGTTCGACGAAGGTGCGGGCCACTGTTTCAGCAGTGATGTCCTTGATAGGTACTGCTTCTGGCCATCGAGTGAAACGATCTACACAGGTTAAGAGGTAGGAGTATCCATTTGAATCTGGTAAAGGTCCTACCAAATCCAGATGAACATGGTCGAAACGAGCGTCGGGAGTTTTAAATGAGCCTAAGGGACATTTATTGTGTCTGATTACCTTAGATTTTTGGCAGCTTACACAGGAGCGTGCCCACTCCCTCACATCTTTATTCATACCAGGCCAGCAAAAACGTTCTGCTATGAGCTTGATGGTTGCACGAACACCTGGATGAGAAAGTTTGTGCAATGTGTTGAAGACATTGCGTCGATAATGTTTCGTGACGATTGGGCGATCCCTACCTGTAGATGTGTCACAAAGTAAGGTTTCCTTACCTGTTCCCATCTGTTTGATGCGTAGTTTAAGGGTTGTGGACGATAACTCTTGTAGAAGATCAGTGTCTTCTTTTTGAAGCTGGGCGAGTTTAAGAAGGTCGATTCCTTGGAAACTGTTCAAGGAATTTATTCGAGACAAGGCGTCTGCAACTACATTGTTCGCTCCAGAAATATGTTGAATATCTGAAGTAAACTGCGAAATGTAGTCCAGTTGTCGAGACTCACGGGGAGAGTACTTGTCAGAAGAGGAGCTTAACGAGAAAGTGAGCGGTTTATGGTCAGTGAATAGAGTGAATTCACGGCCTTCGATGTAGTGTTGGAAATGCCGTACAGCACAATACATAGCTAGGAGTTCCCTACCGAATGTGCTGTATCTCGATTCGGTGTCTAGCAACCGTCTAGAGAAAAATGCCAAGGGTTGCCAGGAGTTGTTAACCCATTGTTGTAAGACTCCTTCGATTGCCGAGTCGGATGCGTCTACTGCGTAACTAATGGGTGCTTCAGTGTCCTGATGTGCGAGCATTGTTGCTTTAGCGATCAGTTCCTTAACTGTGGAGAATGCTTTCCGTGCGGTGTCGTCCAAATTAATGGATATCGCATTTCCACGAAGTTGGTCAGT